AAACAATTAAAACAGAACCATGAATTTTGGTAACTAAACCATTCCGGCTTTTAACACATGCTAGACAAGCTCGGGTCTATTTGCCTTCCACTTGCACTCTTGCATCAAAGAAACGGTGCGTACAAGAGATGAGAGTTGAAAGGAAGTCTCCGTGAGTGTTTCATTCCACTCGCCTCAATGTTTTAGGGTCTTTCAGTGTCAATATTCATGAAAACAATCAACCCACCTTCACACTCTCAATTCTGTGCTTCATGGGCTCGATGCTACGACCCCACGAAGAAAGTCACCAAAATTTTCAAACCGAAAACCTCCCTTAAACCCTCCGCCTTTTCAAAATCCTTGAGCACCTCATTTAATTTCAACCATGAATATCGAGAGGAAGAAAAGCTAGAGCTCCACCAACTCAATGATAAAACCCCAGAAATTTTGAACCTTCCCGTTGTGATACGCCAGTCCGGCAGGGTCTCCAGTTATTTTTGGGATGGGAAAGAGCTGAAGTTAGTCTCTGTTGATGAAATTAATGTACTCTCGCTGTCGAATTTTTATCTGAATTTCGAAGGTGAAATGAGGAAATTGAGTAGAGTTTGTGTAAATGCTGTGAGGAACTTTTTCCTACCGAAGGAAGTGAGTGATAACTATTTGGAGTATGTGAAATGGAAGTTTTTGCATAGAGTTTTCAGCTCCGCTCTTCAGGTTCTTGCTACTCAGGTACTAATTTTGAAATTAATATTGCTATTTTTTTTTTTTGTTCATTAGTATTATTTAATGTTTGAGGTTAAGGATTTTATAGTTTGGACAATGCTCCATTGTTAAAATTTTATTATTGAATAAGGTAAGTTCGATTTGGGGCTTTAAGGTTAGGCGAGCTTTTTGGTTACTTGTGCTGCAACTTAATGTGAAAGTGATTGTGTTCTAATTGTTGTACAATTAAGATTTTTAGCTGAATTTTCTTATCACATCAATGCAACCTAGATACTACATTTCTAATTTTCGGCACTGAATTTTGGAGAGTTTTAAGTCTCAATAAATTTGGTGTTGGTGTTTCTTTCAAATACAAATGATCATTTTGACTGTTGCCTCTCTTTGAGTTAGATATTCCTTAAAATTTTGTCCTTTAATTAACCGAAAATCCAGATTTGGACTTAAGCACTCCAAGCTGTAGATACTTGAGGATTAAAAACGATTACACACGTTCTTGAATTTTTAGATTGCACAATGTATATTTGTTTGGCAAGTTGAACTTATGTGCTTTTCAGATTAGCAATGTTAACTCTATCCATCCAACTTCTTTTACTTCTAAACAATCTTCGGTAGTACTTGCATGCATCGAGTCAGGATTGTTGTGATGTTTTGACTGGTCATATTAGGCAATGTTTCGGGCAATAGGAATCGGCTATTCTCGTTCACTCCCATCAGCCGCTGCACTAAACTGGGTTTTGAAGGATGGGCTTGGAAGGCTTAGCCGGTGCATTTACACTGCCAGCCTTGCTTCAGCTTTTGATACCAATCTCAAGGTACAACTTATGTTCCTCCAGAGAAGGTGGCAAGTTGCAAAAACTGGTTGGAATTTATTGGTAGCTCCTTTGTTTGTAAGGGTTAATTGCAAAAGAATATCCTTTAGGCTGAGTAACCACTGATGGCAAACACCCTTGTTGTGTTTCTCTGTTACAAATACCCGTTTGACCTTTCTTTCATTTACATAGTTGAACTCTCATGATGAGAATTATATGACTCAATGAATTGTTATTGTTAACTTTAAATGATAACTGGATTTTTTTGTATTTCTAATGCTACCCTATTTATTGACTAATGTTAGCAAAGCTCACTGTTCAACTGTGCCAGTGATCAGTTTTTATTTCAATTAATATAATAATTGGGCTTTTGGACCCATTTCCTTAGAATATCCATTTGGGTTATTTGAGATAAGACTCTATTTTAGTACACTATTGTTTGATACTTAGAATTATCTTTGTTGGATAGAATTGTCGGCTTTAAGCCTGGGCATGAAATTTCTTCATGAAGTATCGGCCTTAGGCTGGCGGGGATTCTTCCTGAGTTGTTCTCAGTTATTTTTTTAATTAATAATATTGGTTATCTATTATTTTGATTGCTTTCACTCTTCACTCTATCAAACTGTTCAACAGAATGTGGCTATTACGTTGTTGGCAATTTCTCACTTTCTAAAAATGGATTACTATGTTATCTTGGATGAACTATCGATGTGTGTGTTTGTTTCGACTGAAGAGGGTTAGGTTTGCGACATCTTTCCTGTTCAGCTTGAGCATTGGGGTCGAGCTGCTGACTCCCGTCTTTCCCAAATACTTTCTGCTTCTAGCAACACTAGCAAATATTGCTAAGCAAATAAGCCTTGCTTGCCACTTAGCCACTGGTGTAAGTTTCAACATTTTTTTTGCTTTTTATCTTGAGAGACTTAACCTTCCTATTATTAATCAGTTACTTTTTCTTTGAAACGGGACAATTATTTGATCATTACATTCCCAATCGCCTTTGAAATTTTTCTCTTTCCATCCGTCCTATGATCTTCATGTGATAATTCGAGTTGTGTGTAAAGCTCCTGATGTTTTTAGCATTGTAGAATGAATATTTATCATTGTAAGTAAGTTTGATAAGGCTAGGACTATGTAATAACATAATGCCGCTTACAAAAAGGAATATCATGAAACTCGTACTGGAGCATTTAGCGCATAATTTTAGTCGAGCTTGATACCACCACGAGATATGCATGGCATGCTCTAGTTAATCTGTAATGTTTTTAACACTTGAGTATGCCGAGCATTTTCATTCATGTGTATTTAGCAAATTTTATGTATAGGATGATTGAAAAGTTCAATCGATCATGTTGTGCAGTCGGCTGTTCACAGAAGCTTTGCGATCGCGGATAATCTTGGTGAAGTTTCTGCGAAGGCTCAGGTATTATGAGATTCAGTGAAAGGTTTCCAATAAAAGGATCTAAATTATTTATTTACTTTAGAAATATTGATTCTTAGTTCGTGGTTTCAGATTCAGACAGTGTGCTTTGACAATATTGGTCTCCTGTTATCTGCTACCTTGAACATCATGTTTAGAAACAATCAACGGTAACTGCTCCAATTGTCATTGAATGTTCTTTTATTCTCCAATTTGTTGTAAATTATCAATATCTACCGTGTTACTTCCAAGGACATATGCTATTCAACTGCCCTTGTTTATGCGAAAGAAGTACTATGTTGTAATATATGCAAGTTCTGGTATCAGGAATGACGACACTTATTTATTTTCTGGTACAACAGGCTTAATGATAATTAAACTTTGTGTGACTAACTTTCTTTACGGCGTTGAAGATTGTTGGCAGCTCTACCATTTGTTGTGTACCCAATTTTCTCGGCTATTGATCTTTGTGGGATTTATCAAGGCCTTAAACACGTTCATCTCCAAACATTAACTAAGGTTTTTGCCCTTTATATTACAGATTTTGTTTTATACATTTTCACATCAGGCATATACTTTGCTGTTTCCAATGAATAACCAGACTGTATAAGGTTATATTACCATTGTTTTTTTACCAGGCTGATTTTGGTTTTGCAATTAAGAATCTCCTCCTTATTTTCAAATAACTTCTTGTCCAGGATAGACTTGAGTCGATATTAAAGATTTGGATTCAGCTAAGATATATCCCTTCACCAGCTGAAGTGAGTACAAAGGAAGGCATCTGTTTATTATGGAGAAAAGGTAAAGCCTTTTATTTTAATTTTAATTCAAGAAAAGTAAATAAGATGTACAAAGTTCCTTGGATTTACGTGCAGCATTAAATGGTTTTTGGATTAGACAGTGAGCTACTACCGATTAGAATTGGAATCTTGAATCCCAAGAGAAATAAGGCTTTTGCAATGTCAACGCTGTCCATGATGACATTGAAGTCTTTAAAAGACGAAGATTCGTACTTCATTTGCTTGGAGAGCTTAAATTATGGATCCAGAATAATGGATGTGAGTATGCTTACTTATGATATTTAGGCACTTTTTTATGATTTGGTTCTCTCAGCAATCTGTTATGCAATTGCAGTTCGGGATTCTTCTCTGTTTACGGGAGGGGGCCCAAACTTCCGATATTATCATGGGTTTATTGCAGGTATAAAATGTCTAAATTATCTGTTCTTTCATGAAACAGATAGAAAAATAAGTTTTATGTTTGCAAGCAAAAATGAGGGATGTTGATGAAATATTCCATGAGGCTTCACATTAATACAGGAAAAAAATTAATCTAACTCCCTAAAGACCGTATTAGTGATCCCCAAATTGAAATAAGAAATTCTCTTGTGAATCAATTTAGCCTAATAAATGTAATGCTCAAAGAAAAGGCTAAAGTCTTCTGTTATGTTCACTTCTGCTCATGGAATGCATAGGCTTGTTACCTTCGTAACCGGGTCCTACTCGATACGATTTATTGGGAGAAGATTCTAGATGCATGTCAGCACTCGAATTCATATCTTAGAGAATGGTTTATATTATTAGAAGAATGCAAGAGGTCTGCAGAAGCTGATCTGTATGCGTTGATAGATAAGATGTCGGTATTGGGATGGTCTTGCAAAAACGTGCTTTTGAGCATGAGAGAGCAAGAAAGATACAGTTTTGTGGCTGATGGCTGAGATTAGAGTGTGTTTTTGTAATCAGAATTCGTTACACAGCAATAGAAGGTAGGGTGTGAGTAACAATGAAGTTAATTAGTGTAGGATTTACAGATTAATATATGTGGTCCAAGTTTTCTCCTACACGAAAGCCCTTTCCATCAAATGTTGTTGTTTGTTCTCTTAGGTAAATTTTGTCAACATTGGCAATAATCAATATACTTATTTGTACTTTGTCATGTAATTAAGTTTTAGTTGGCTATATAAAATTATGTTTTATATGGACAGCTCTTCAGAGTTTTTGTTTCCTTGTAATGCTTGAGTATTTTTGTTTGTTTGTTTATTTATCCCGTATCTGTTTTCAATTTTGCCAAATTGGTTTGTATCCCACCATTGACCTTATCTGTATATCTTTTATTTCTGTCAAATTGATTCAATTCGTGAGATTTTATATACATAGAGAAACTAAGTACGAGGAAACTGGGTAGCAATCTAATTATTTGTGTGTAAGCAAATGCTAGTAAAGTGCAAATGATGCATGTGATACACATTAGTTTTTAGCCGTCATCCATACTAAGAGTTCTGGATAAAGAACACACTCAATAGCTCCACCATACCAACATGCGTTTAGGTATATGCAACTGATTAACACCAATTTTTTGTTTGGGATTGTTCGGTCTTTCACCCCCCACATTGGTGCAAGGTGTAACAGTCGGCGCTGTTATTGCTTAGCCCCGAATCTAGTAGTCGACTATTAAACATTACACCAAGGCAGGGATCCTGCTTTGCTTGAATCTTTATTCACAAAAGATGATGGGGAGTGTTGTTTGGCCTGAGATAGTTGTCCACGATCTTGCTCGATCTAGATCTGATAGTGTTTGGTTTGGGATTTGATAGTCGACGACGTCCGGAGTAAAAGGATAACCCCGAAGAAGAAGAAGAGAATTTCAAAATAAATCCAAAAAGAAAGGAACCGGATACCTACCATGACAATGGTGGGACA